AAGGAAAAGGGCATGCGCACCCGATAACGACGACCGGCCCGCTTAGAAACAAGGGGGGAAGGGAGTCGAGTCGCCCCGACGCCTACTGCATCTACCCGATCGGATGACGCACGGGTCAGGCGCTCAATGTCGACTCACTCGGCGTCGTCGATGACCGAACATTCCGCCCGCCTTCGGGGACGAAGTTCCCGAATGTTGTTGGCTCTGGATCTACAGGCAGAATGCAAATTTTCGTTATAGGTCGTTTGAAGGTGGCAGTGGCTGTTCGTACGGTGACGACCCTGGTTAAGCCGTCCTGGCCAGGGTGCAACTGTTGGACCAATGCAAGTGGCCAATTGCCTGGAGGGTAGCGCTCGTCCGTAAGGAAGACCAAGGACCCTTCTCGGATCTCTCTAGATGGATGATGCCATTTTGAGATCGCCTTGTAGCGTTGAAGACACTCGGCTTGCCATCTTTTCCAAAAGTGTTCAACTTTTTGCCGAAGGAGTTGCCACCTTGTGAGACGCGAACTGGGCTGATCGCTGAGATTTGGCTCGGGGATCACGATTGGAGCTTCGCCTATGAGAAAATGACCCGGGGTCAAGGCAGCGTAGTCGTTGGCGTCCTCTGACATAGGACACAATGGCCTGGAGTTAAGGATGGCCTCTATCTGACACGTGAGGGTTGTCAGCTCTTCGTATGTCAGCACTGAGTCTCCGATGACTCGGCGCAGGTGAAATTTAGTCGTCTTGACCGCGGCTTCCCATTTACTTCCGAAATGAGGCGCGGCGGGTGGGATGAAACGCCAGTTAGTCCCGAGATTTGTGAGCATTCTTGCCAATTCCTTTAGCTCCCTAGAGGCCGCGTCGAAGCGTCGTCTCAATTCGCGATCGGCTCCTACCAGGTTGGAACCATAATCGCTGTGTAAGGTGGCACAGGCCCCGCGCCGAGCGGTAAAACGCTTAAATGCGGCGATAAAGGCTTCCGTGGTGTAATCTGTTATTACCACTTCGAGGTGGACAGCGGAGGTGGAGAACCACACGGAGATCGCCAGGTATCCTTTGTATACTTTGGCCGCCCGCCCTCGCCAAGCTTTTATACTTATGGGTCCAGCATAATCAACTCAAGAAGATGCGTTGCCGATTTCGATCACTTGGGTGGACCAGTATCTGTCGATACATTTTCGTTATGTCGGATGAAAAGACGACTTTAGGTGACCGAAACCATAGCAATACGTCGAGGATGTCTGTCTGTAATTTGACTCCCGCGTGCAAAATGTCGTTGAGGGACACTCCACTCGTTGACGAACTCGACCCGTTAAATACGACGCGTAGTTTCGTTGTTTGACTAATATCGCGTAGGACACCGTGATGAGGCAGATAAAAGACGGGAGAGTGGTTGATCTCAGATTCAGGTACCGGTACCATATGGCCTAGCGATTGATACTCTAACAGAAAGTCTGTATAGAGCTTGCGTAAGGATGGTTCCCTTTCAAATCGTTTACGAAGTCGCGCCAAGCATCGGAGAGCGATTTGAGCTGAATCGCCTAATAAGGTAGCCGGGGATTTCAACGGAAGACGAACTATATATCGACCGTTCGGATCTCGCGAAACGGTGGAACTAAACTGATCCTCGCAATCAGCATTAGCAGGGCTCAATGATTTCGCGGTCGAATTCGGTATCTCTTCCTGTCTCCAAAAGCGTGTTAAGGGATCTTGTAAGTCGCGATCGATGTGACAGTGATAATTACCGCTTTCGCGATCATACGCCGCAGGTGTAGCGGGTCCGGACACCGCCCATCCGAATAAAGTTAACTGTGCAATCGGTGACGCCGCGTCACCTCTTATTATTTCAGGCTTAATGATCTGACCGTAACAATCCGCGCCAATGATGATATTAATCGGACCGGGTTTATTGAAATTCGGATCGGCTAGTGGTAAGTTTCGAAGGTGCCTCCAAGAATCGTTGGTTACTTCAAATGATGGAATTTGAAAAGTTAACCGTGGCAGAATGTATGCCTGTAGGGTGCAAGACTTGGAGATCTCCGATACCGAATAAAGCTCGAGATAAACGAGGCCCTTAGTGCGTCCCGCGCCAGTTCCGCCTATACCGAGTAGAGGAATCATAGCGGCTTTTCGCGGTAAGCTCAACAAACGCACTAACTCCTCTGTTATAAAGGATAATTCAGATCCCGGATCTAAGAGTGCGCGGACAGAATTGAATTTACCATCGCGGGATTTTAGTTTGACTTGACACGTTGCGAGCAGTGTTAACGGTCGATGCCCGATGGCACATTCTGTGTGATTCGCGCAAGATGCCTCTAGTCACTTCTGCTCTGAGGTAGGCACAAGCGGGGGCGACTCACTAACGGTCGAAACATCTGGATCGGCTTTGGTAGCGGTTTTCGATTGTGTCCTTCGGTCGTCATGTAAGGTAGTATGATGCTTGCTCCCACATTTTCTACAGCGATGCGAACTTGGACAACGACCAACTCCATGACTCCCTAAGCAATTGAAGCAAAGATGGAATCTAATAACGGTGCGTTTACGACGTTCAAGCGCGTACGACAAATAAGTAGAGCAATTGGACAAGTAGTGAGCGGCTTTGCATAACCGACATTCTATCCCACCTTTAGCTGTTGAAGCCGTCGCGACTAAACTCCGAGATCTTACATCTGCCTTACCCGACAACCAAGATGTTCGTTTCTTATCTTTAGTGGGCTTGCCCTGTTCAGAAGAACGCTTCTCCCACGCTTGCGTGCGGCTATTCACAAACTCCTCAAATGCTTTTAAAGTAGGAGAAGCAGTAGACGATCCCAAGTGGATGTTCCAGTCTTCGCGTGTGTCTTCGTCTAGCAATCGAGCCAACATCCGTACCAAGAATGCATCCCACTCCTTCACGGGGCAGTCCAACGCCTCGAGAGCGCCTAATGCGTGGGTGACAGTAATCATCATGTCATTCAAGTCCTGCGCGGATTTCGACTTGATGGGCTTCAAATCGAGGAGGCTATCCACTTGGGCAGCGATCAGTATCCGTTTGTTGTCATACCGCGATTCCAAAGTTTTCCATGCAAGGTTGAAAGTGGCGTTAGTGACTTTAAGGTTAGCGACGCGTCGAGCCGCGTCCCCAGCGAGACACGTTTTTAGATACTGCATCTTCTCAACGTTTGTTAGCTCGGGATTTTCTCCCACCATCGACGTAAACAGGTCACTAAAGTCCTTCCATGCATGAAACTCTCCGGAAAATGTCGGCAAGCTAATTCTTGGTAAGCTCCTTAGCCGTGTGCCAGATCGCCCTTCAGACGATGGAGGGCCACACGAGCGCGCAGAGGAATTTGATGCTTCCACTGAGTCTTGTTGGTCAAGCAATATGGACCTTGCTTGTACATAAAATTCCTGACATCTCTCGTATGTCCGGGACCTTATATACGACTCGTCAGTAAGGCGTCCCGCGTGTACTCGACAGAGCCTCTCGTGCTCCTCTTGGAACTTGTTCCAGTTGGATTCCAGAACGTCCAGTCTGGTCGACACCAAGTTGCGAGAGATGGTGGCAGAGGGGTGATCCTCTGCGTCTTCCACGGCATTCTGGATCATGAGGAATCTATTCATTTGCAACGAGATTTGAGCGGGCAACTCATCCATGTTGCTGTCCACGCCGCGCTCTTCCCTTTATTGAATAGTTATAAGCAAACAATCTGCGAAAAAGGTAGTAATAAATAACTCGCCTTTTTTAACAGTGCCGACAGGCACTCGCTGACGCATCAGGTCATTCGATTACTATTTCGAAATTACACTTCCGAGCGCACCTAACGCCGTATCCGGCTCGAAGGACCAAAATAA